AATGTAAAGACTTGTTTCCTATTTGACATTTTTTGTTGAACTGTAATTAACTTTTGGTGTGATGCTAAGTAGTTCTGTTAATTTTAACAATTTTCTCTTATCATTCAGTTGAATTTTAATTGATTTGAACAGAATACTTCTTTCTCCTTTCCCATATTTAATTAAAACTGAAATGAAACTTTTGTAATGAAAAGCAAAAGTCCTTGAAAATATTAAATTTATTCCCTGAAAATAAAAGACAGTCTTTTTTTTTTATATGCTATGTCCCTTCAGGATGTCAGCGATTATAGCTCACCACAAATCCTTATCCCTCCTTGTTCATGATCTGTCATCCATTTATATACAGGTATGTTACGGTTTCCTTCTGCCTCTTTTGCTTTCAATATGTCCTGTGAGTGTTAGATTCTCTGAGCCCTATTTCCTCTTTCTGGGTTATGGTGACCTATCTACATTAGAATGAACTCTTCCTCCTTCATAAATACTAATCTGCGAGACTTCCTATGGAGGCAGTCGGGATGCAGTGTGACCTGATCGTTTGGATGGACACTTCTATCTGCTGACTAATAACACTCTTATTTTGTTCTGTTATTTCATTACACTTGTCCAACCTACCTTCTTCTTTTCATGTCTTTCTTTCTGACCCCTAACAGGCCACAACATTATGTATCCCCAAAATTTTTACTGTCTTTCTGATCTTAAGCAAAAGTGTCCTTTTTGTTCCCTTTTTCCTTAACTTCCTTGTTGTTCACATGCTCCATCCATGGTATTCTCACAATCTTCTGTAGAACCACTTCGTTGCCTCCAGTCTCTTCTTCATCTGTGAAGAAACTGTCCAGCATTAAAGGCAGTATAGGAGGAATGATATTGCATAACAGTTGAGCACACTTGGCTTTTTGTTGCCAACAAAATTTTCATATTTTGTTATGTTGTCCTTAATTACTTAAATTTTATGATGCTTGTCTGGAAAGTATTTAAATATTCTACATACCTGCAGCCGTGTGAGTGATGAATTATCTTCCACCCTACAACCGCTTTTTCTCAGACAAAATGTTGCAAGTCTCTTGCTACTCTGTCGCTATTTCCTTGAAAAGTTTTCAGGTAAACTACATTCTTTAGTCCCACTAGTTCTAACCTTTATGGCTAAGGCCTGCTATACTAGGCATATTATAGCAAACCATCCTTATTCCCTTTGTATTCCAGAAGTTCCACTCAAGCAGCTTCTTTGGGACACTGATTCCCAAGAGAATGCTTTACCAATTAATACAATCTTAACATGTTTATCTTCTTCCCCACATATCACCATAGACTGTGCCCCTGATCTTACTATGTAACCTTCTACCTTGAGTGGCTCTTGGTCCTTGTACAAGGTGCAGATTATTGTAAAAAAAAAAAAAAAAAAAAAAATTCTGGTTATTTTGAAAATGACAGATTTGGTGTAACTTGGCAGTCAGTCAGAGGGGACCTTGCTGCACATACGTGAACACTGTCATTCAGTTGTAAGTTGGATAGCATTGAGTAAGTTTTTGTGTAATTTTGTAAAAAAAAAACACACACACACAAATTCACTCAATGTTATTGACAAAACCAAGCGAGCCTTTTCACCAAAACCTTTTGCAGCTTTTTTAACAACTCGTCATATCACTTAGATCTGTCAGCTTCCTGCAACTCTTGCGTATTTCCATTGAAAGAAAGGATATTTTAGATTGTGAACAAGATTCTGGAGACAGCAATGAAGACTTTGCAGACTCTCTTGAAAAGTGGGGGGAAAAAAAAATTGTATAATTGCGTGAGGTCCCAGGGGAATACTTTGAAGAGGACTAAGGTGTCATTATCCTAGGTAGACTTTTTAAAAATTTATTTTTGTTAAATGGTTGGCTCATTTCTAGAAAGACATCCTATACATGGGGGGCCTGAAAAGTTATCATACCAACCCACATCCCCAATTCTGACTAATCATCAGAATATGTTTATTAAATTCTGTTCTTTTTCAAACTGAGAGTTTTTCAGCACCACTCTGAATAGAAAAGTGTGCCCTTATGAATTTTATGACAAATATATCACTTTGAAAATATCCTTTTTCTTTGTGTATAAACATGTTCATTAGATAATGTATGCATAGCATAGAAATTATTGATTTAACAAGTGAAATTGGCATGTTTAGTTCAAATTCCAGCTGAGGACATTGCATTCACTTTCACACAAATACTCTTAGAAAAGTATGAATTCACCTCTTCCTTCAGCTAGGGTTTAATAACAGGGGGTAGGCTGGACTTTTCTAGCTTTTGGTTGGCAACTAGTCTAGAAGGAGGACAACAATGAATACAAAACTGGTTTTGGCATGAAGCTAGCAACTCCCATCCAGTAAGGACGTAGTTGCTATGAAAATCACAGCAGAAACACCTAACATTAAGAAATTGTGGTCCTGTACTCAACAGGGGAATTTCTAGGATTAACATACAACAACATTGGAGCACTTATGCCTTTTCTTGTTTTATAGAAA